ATGGTCAAAAAGCGACAATTTCTCACCTTTCTGCCCTTTGAAAGCTCAAGAACTGACCATGACCACCCTCATCTTGTTGTTTAGCTGGACATAGGGAAGTGCACCAAGAAAAAATGCCACATTTCAATAAACAACTCGCCGAGGGCTGCTGAAAACTGAAAAGAACCTATCTCCCAGTTTTAGGCCTTTTTGCCCTACAACATGGCCCAGCTGTAATAAGCCCATTGCGCAATGACGTAATTTGTACCACCAACACCCCACCCAGCCAACTGGGCATGGTCGTCGTGGGTGTTGAACAGTGCATTGCATGTCCCGTGATTGATCACTTTGCGACTTAACCATTCACAGCAGTGCCAAATTATCTCGGTCACTATGTGGGTGCCAGCGGCCTCGCTGCAACCAAAACTCAAATCAAATCAACGCAGGCAGTCACATTGCAACTGGGCCATGTTGTACAGAAGTGCATTGCAATTACTGGTGGACACAAAATAATGGTCAAAATTTGACAATTCCTCACTTTTCTCCCCGTTCCCAGGTCTGAAACTGACAAAGACTATCCTGATCTTGTTGAATACCTGGGCAATGGGTAGTGGACAAAGAAAACAAGCCGCATTCCTCTAAACAACTCTCCCAGGGCTTCTGAAAGCTGAAAATAGCCTATCTCCAAGTTTTGGGCACTTTGCTTGTGGTTCTTCACTTTGTGACTAAACCATCCACAGCAGGACCAAATTATCTTCCTCACTATATACAGGTGCCAACGGCCTCACTGCAAACCAAAAATCAAATCAATCCAGGCACTCACATTGCAGCTGGGCCAACTTGTACAAAGGTGCATTGTAATTTCTCATATCCTTCCCAAGCAGCCCGCGTCCCGAATTGCCGGGAATGGGGTCACACGTCTGTCCCCACATGGTCAAACATATCGGAGCCTCACATTTCTCTTGAAGGAGGGAGGTTGTATGCAAGATCGACTCATCGTTCAATACCAAGCAACACACATCCCGAATCACCGGATGATGATGGGGTCACATGGATGTCCCCACCGGTTCACAAATTACGAGTTGCAAATGAAATAGTGTTACGAGTAAACACAGGAAGGAGCGGCAAGATTGACAGGATTGCAAATATTCTCACCTCTTCTTGTGAGGCTGACCGCTATCCTTCCGCTATCCTACGCTGCTCCTTCTTATTCGTGTTGTTCAACTGTGCTTTCGAGCCCACGCGCTTGGTGGTGTCATCAATCACTAAGACTTTACTTTTTGAACATTCTGCCAAGACTGACTTGGTTTCAAAGCTGGACGTAGCCACTAGCTATTGCACTGAGTAGCACTGTGTTGAAGTGCTACTGGGAAAGCGACTGTGGCCGTAATGGCAGAGGCCCGCCAAATCAAAAGGACAAACTAACTTTTCTTGTTTTCGACTCAAGAAGAAGATGGAGTCGATATGCTAATCCGCGCATGCGTTCTTTTTAAAATTATTATTTGTTGCGGTGTGAAGTCACCAGCGCGGGAAAGTCAGTACCGGTCTCAACTGGTGTAAACCGTATTATACCGGTCACGGTCGGTCAAAAGCGGTCAAAACTGGATTAGAATGGTTGAAACCGCCTTGATGTTGAACCCAGTGGGGGTGGGATACTCTTCAACCATTTAATTTTGTGTCAACACCATAGCCAGGCATAGCCAGGCATAGTAGATCATGGTAGATCTACCGGTGTTACCATGGTAACGAGAGTCACGAACGAAACGTCTCGGAGCACACAGTACAACGACGACCGACGTTCTTCTGCGACTTGGTGCTAGTTTCGTTCCCCCTCGAACTAACTTGTTAGTGTTACTTGTACTTGTAGATTGAGAGTTTAGTCTTGGCCAGGGAGCCTTTTACTAGTAAAGTTAGTTATGTTGGCCACGGCTTCTGCTTCATGCTGATGCATCGACCGTGGCGATGCGGTGCGTCGATGCACGGGGTATGCACCGCGTACCGACGGTGGTGATGCGATGCATCGATCCACGCGCTATGCACCGATCCACGCGCTAGCGCTATGAACCGATCCACGCGCTATGCACCGACCATGCATCACTGCCATCAGTAAAACTAAACGATACGACGTGCGCGACAGACGAAGTAAGTAATAGTTCGGAATCACGTTGTGGGTTGGAGGCATCCGGCATGATAGAGGTCGAGTGGAAACTGCAGCAGTGCAGGTTCGATCCTTGTGTGGACCTTGATCTACGAAGCCGAGGAAGGCAATAATATTACCGTATTATCTCTAATATAAGCACGGTCCTGTATTTTTTCAATGTACCTCCGCCCCGTGCTATTAATGGAGACGTTCCTTTATTGGAGACTGTTCCATTATTATTTCAACCTCATTTCAGAGGCATGTTGCCATGCCAAACTCATGTATGACACACACATTTCAGGGTTTTTTTCGCCGGTACAGATAATGAATTTACACAGTGTGCTTATAATGGAGACTGAGCACTTTATTAATTTTTTGAATGCCGCCCCAAGGTGTTCTATTATTGGAGACGTGCTATTCTTGGAGACTGTGCTTATATTAGAGATAATACGGTATTATTGAAGAAGCTCGGTGATTGGTGTGATCATGGTGATGACCACTGCAACCAGGGAGTCATAAAATGCCGGTATTTTACGACTCTCCGAGTGAAGTGCAAATCAACATGGTTGCTATCACTACTATTAGTACTATAGTATTGATTGTACGGCTGAGTCAGGTAGCATTTTCTTCGGGTATCGGGTCCGGGTAGTTTTCCACGGGTAGCACGGGTACCCGATCGGGTAATGTTTCCATGGTAAGACCACAATGCACACCGGCCGCCCCTTCCTTATAGCTTACACACTGGGTAGACATGCGTGAGTTATTTGTACACGTGCACTGTAGACCTCTCTCTCTCTACTCTTTCTACATGATGTCATCTGCGACTTCGGGTTTTCGGGTACTATTCTGTACCCGTCTACCCGAGGTCCTCACGGGTAGCACGGGTACCCGACTACCCGTGCACACCACTGATTGATTGATATTATATTTTCAAGGATTCTCCAGAGGCAAATGGATGCCTATCAAAGGGAGTCTCCTGGAGAAAGGAAGTGAACGTGGCTGTTATGAGAGAGGGAAGAAGGGACATGACGAGGTGAAAAATAAAAATAAAACAATCAGGAACAGCAGAAGCTACTTGCAATAATTTGGTATACCTTGCATAGAATACTTGTGGTAATACTACTTCTGAAGTATCTGGAACCTGGAAGTGGAAGACACCGTAGCAACAAAAGTACATGTAATTTTAAAATTTTACAGAGGTAATGCGATTACATCATCAGTTGAGATGATTTGGTGAGGTCGTGGCACAGCGCTTCGCTTGCACTAGCGACTACCGCTGCATACACAGCGCCCATAAGCGAATCCGCTGACTCACACTGTACACTTAGAGCCCAAGTTAAAGGGGAAGTATACCCTAAAATCAAATTTTCACCAGTTGTAGTCTTCTGGGTGCTGAGTCGAATGGTCTTGGTCCGAGGAAGCTGCGGCGCTCCCTTCCTACTTGAATCCCAATCGAACTCGCGCACTTCCACCGAAACTGGGTGACTGCGCCCTACTAGATGGGGATTTGTATGCAAAATGTCACTAAAAGCGCCATTTCGTTCTTATAAAAGCACGGATGACCGCGATTGGCCCATATGTTGTAGTCTTTTGGACGCTGAGTCGACTGGTTTTGGCCCGAAAAGGCTGCGATGCAGCGTTCCTCCTTTATTCCCAATCGAACATGGTTGAAGAAGCGGTCACGTGCTCCTGCGTACACCAGTCAGCTGGTCACCGTGCCTGCAGGGTACAACTTACTAGCCTGTTTGACCTTTTTTGGGTGCAGTCCTGTCACTCGAGTTGAACTCGAGTTGAACCTTGGTGTGAAAGTTGTCGCCTGCTGGCGCGGTGACCAGGTGATTTGGGCACCCAGGAGCACGTGACCGCTTGTTCAACCATGTTCGATTGGGAATAAAGGAGGAACGCTGCATCGCAGCCTTTTCGGACCAAAACCAGTCGACTCAGCGTCCAAAAGACTACAACATATGGGCCAATCGCGGTCATCCGTGCTTTTATAAGAACGAAATGGCGCTTTTAGTGACATTTTGCATACAAATCCCCATCTAGTAGGGCGCAGTCACCCAGTTTCGGTGGAAGTGCGCGAGTTCGATTGGGATTCAAGTAGGAAGGGAGCGTCGCAGCTTCCTCGGACCAAGACCATTCGACTCAGCACCCAGAAGACTACAACTGGTGAAAATTTGATTTTAGGGTATACTTCCCCTTTAACACGCTGAGCCTCAGCATTCGCCGATAACCTCGTACCCGTGCATAGTAACATCGCTCCGAAGAGTCCAGACACCATCATCCAGAGCATGCAGGTCCGGCGATGGTGAACAGCAGCAGCAGCCATAGCAGTCAAGCGCAGACCACACACATACACAAATTACAACCCCCACCCCCGCTCACGTTCACATCATACGCTCATACCTCACGCATGCACACGCATACCCCCCCCCCCCCCCCCCCCAACACACACACACGCTCACAATAAAATACACGAATATACAGTCAACTTCGCTAATGACGACTGCGGATATAACGACAATTTGCGAACAAAAACAGAATTCTCATGCCCAGAGCAAAGTCCAATCTAACTGTATACATATAATGAGACTTCGGGTATAAGGACACTTCGCGAATAAGGACACTTTTCTGAAGCCCCGGTCGAGTGTCGTTATACGCAAAGTTGTCTGTACATCTACAGGTGAAAACATAAAGGACTGGAAGATGCGTCACAAGGAACAGAACTTCTAATGCCGAGTCGAGGTCTTTTTCCAAGGCAGAAACCTGATTGGAAACGAAGTTCTGAGCACAGGTTTCAGTGCCTGGTTCCCCCCCGCCTCACACACGTGCGCATCTGCCCACGCAAGCACACACAAACACACACACACACACACACAGCTACGCAGCACTTCACCGGAGTCATGAAAGGGAAATCATGTACAAGTACGTCGATTGTCAATGTTTCACGCATCTCCGGTAACATAGGTGGATAACAAGCTTCACAAATTAATGACTTTCTCCAATATCCAAGCCATAGAATAAGATAGGTTTATCTATTGAAGTGTTTCAAGTTCCGCTCAAAAATCGAATGATCGTATCATATTATTATTGTGATTGATTATACTGAAAATAGAACACTGTTGTAAAAATCAAGTAGAATAAGAAACAGGGCCCATACTCTTCAAACACATAGTGTGAAGCTCGCATGATTCTTCTGCCGTCATACAGTAACGCAGTAACCATACAGTAACGCAGTAACCAGACAGTACAGACTGCTACGTAGGGAACATGACATTCTGCGTCTGATGAGGACTTGGATTAGTGGGTCTTCGCTAACTTCAATCAGTGTGTTGCAACTACAAACACGGCTGAAGGCTATAGTGCACCAGTACACACCAGTACACACCGGTACACACCAGTACACACCAGTACACACCAGTACACACCAGTACACACCAGTACACACCATTACACACCATTACACACCAGTACATACCAGTACACACCATTACACACCAGTACACACCAGTACACACCAGTACACACCAGTACACACCAGTACACACCAGTACACACCAGTGCACACCAGTACGCACCAGTACGCACCAGTACGCACCAGTACACACCAGTACACACCCGTGCAGTGTATACTATTACACGAGGTGAAGCATGCCAAATTGCTGCGGACGACATCATCACAGAGAGCAAGCACGATGTAATAGATACTGGTGATGACATCATGATGTGTCAGGGCTCCAGGATGACTGTGAAAACAAGCCATCATAGTTACGAAGAGGGAGCAATACCCGGAAATATAAATAGGCAGCCAAACGAGGTGGATTTTCTCACCATGCTGATACGGA